ATCAGGTGGATTTCCCCGTTTCCATTAGCAAACGGGGCGTGTCAGTTGCTCACCTCTGCTGGCGGGGACGGCAGCACCTCGAGAAGCTGCACCCGGGTGGTTTATTTTTAGTTTTCTAGTTTTAAAAATCTCTGGAGAAGGAACTCTAAAATGTTCTCCAATAACTTTACTGTTTAACAGCACAGCTGTTTAGCAAATACCTTGGGAAAGGAAAGGAGCCCGAGAAATTTGCATCGTTCCCTGACCTACATAGAGAATAACCTCACCTCTGCAGATTGCAGCGCGCATGCAAGCCGGTGAGCTAACAGGGTGCTGAGCTGGTTAGAGTTGCTGTCTGGCTTTCCAAGCTAAAGGGCTGAAGGAAACTTTATTTTTCAGTGATCTCTGAGTTGCCTTCAGGATGAAGTCCGAACTAGGAAAGCCACTGGCCGCTTCTTGAATCTGTAACTTTATGTTGGCTTCCAGTGTAAGATGGAAGATGGAGCACAGACATCTGCCCGCTTTGACTGCAAGCACGTATCAGTGACAGAAAAGTAATAGTTAACATAGCTGCACTCAAAAACAACAGCAGGAGGCCAAGTGCAGTGACTCATGCCTGTAATCCTGGCACCCTGGGAGGCCGAGATAGGAGGATCCCTCAAGGTCAGGAGGTTGAGACCAGCCTGAGCAAGAGCGAGACCCCGTCTCTACTAAAAATAGAAAGAAATTATACCTGCACAACTACAAATATATAGAAAAAAATTAGCCGGGCATGGTGGTGCACGCCTGTAGTCCCAGCTACTTAGGAAGCTGAGGCAGGAGGACTGCTTGAGCCCAGGAGTTTGAGGTTGCTGTGAGCTAGGCTGATGCCACTCTAGCCTGGGCAATAGAGCAAGACTCTGTCTCCAAAAAAAAAAAAAAAAAAAAAAACAAGAGTAGGAGCTCTTCAAATACCTGGAAGGGAAAGGGTGCTCGAAAGAAGGAATAGATAAAAACCTACAGCAGGAAGGACAAATTTCTGTCACCCTAAGACCTAGAGGCTGAAGTCAGGCACAACAGGAGAGGCACGAATGTTGGTTCTTATGAGAGGCCAGAGGTGGACGGGATCCCCCACCTTGAAACTGGCTTCGTGGTCAGAGGACCTCATATCACGTGACCCATTTGGGTCAAAGGGCTCCAGCCCAGATGGCCATGGAAGGCCTAGTGGAGAGCCTTGTCTCAAAACTACCTGAGAACATTGTTGAGACCACCCAACAGGGAGATCTCGGGACCCAGCACGCTGTGGACCGGAAGCTTAGAGCCAGGAACCACAAGGCACCTCAGAAAGCGTCCCCTAAGAAGTAGAAACCAGCCAAACACGAAAACTGAAAACCAAAGAAATTTAAATCGATAGAGAAAACAGAAAATTGCATTTTAGGTTTCTAAAGGAATTATCAATACGATAAAGAGCTTGAAACTATAAAATAAGAGTAGGTGATCTTGAAAAAAAGAGCTATTTAGGAATATTAGAAATTAAAATATAATTATCTTAAATTTAAAAAATGAGTAGCTGGATGAAAGAACAATCTAGACATACAGAAGAAAACATCGGTAAGTGGAAGACTGAACTGAAGAAATCATGCCAGTGCACCCACAGACGTGAAAAAGTGGAAAGCATGAGAGCAAACGCCGGCGGTGGGGGCGGGGGCGCGGCCCAGGTGGGGCTCCGGGAGGAGGGTGGGCAGGTGAGAAGCAGAATTGAGTGGGGTCGTTACTGTTGAGATTCCTGATGGGAAGAAACGTGATTCTTAACCTGAAAACACTCTTGCCTGTTAAGCAGGATTCTTAAAGAAAATCCACCAGTGAACATTTTTCTAATGGAATTTCAAAAAAATCAAATATAAAGAGAGAATCTACCTTCCTCGCTAGCGATTTCCAGTTGACGCTTTCTGCCACACCGACACGAACCATACTCACAGCTTCCTGAAAATGCTACCCCCACCGCCAACACCTCCATGCCCCCTGCCGTCCTTCCTAGCTTCAATGCTCTTCTGTCTCTTTGGTCTTGGCCAGCAGGTTCTCTCCCCAGGAAAGTCTTTCCAGAATCCCTCCCAGTTTCTCATTCCCTGCTCCCCTTAACTGTGAGCGTGGCGGGTCCTGCTTCGCTCGGCCCAGGGGCTGCTGTCTGGGGTCATTCACCTGACTTTGGCTCTCACCGCCCTGTGAGCTTGCCGCGGCCAGGTGTAAAGTCTTCCCGTTCTGATTCTTTGGGGCTCGGCGTGGCTCACGAAATGTGGCAGTTACTTGTCATCCCACATGATTTGGGGAATGAATCAGACTTTAAGCCTGTGAGTTGGCGAGATGATAGTTTCAAGTGCAAATGCGCCGTCGAGGTCTAGGGCAGTGAGCCCCTTACGCCGTGGAGCTAGTCACTGGCAGAGCCGAGTTCCCTGGCTTGCACGGAGCACTTCGTACATGTCATAACGCCTCCACCACGAACAGTCCCTGTAATAAAAGCCTTGTATGTTTTTAAAATATCTTTTAAAGCCAAATAAAGTAATAGTTTTAAAAATAAAGCACATTTTTAAAAACACGACTTTTCAGAAGGTGAATGATTTGCCTTTCCATCTTTTATTTCTAAAATTTGTTTTAATGGCAGTCTTACATTATTTTCTTAATAGGCACATGGACACCTCAAAATATGATACCAGAATCAGCCTTAAATAGTGGGCATTTAATCAGATAACATTTAAACTTTAATGTGATTATTTATCTTCTGGCCGTATACTTATCACAGCTTTATTAGATCAATTATCTAGTAATCTTTAAAATTCTCGCTCATTGTCTGGCATGTGGAATTGCATCGTGTTTGAAGCTGTGTGTCTTTGCCTGGGCTGCTTCCATTGTATGTAGAACTTTCATAGAGGAAAGAACTTGCCTTGGTTTAACATGCCGTGTTCAGCACCTGGGACAGCTCCATGCACACGCTCAAGCCTACCAATGAGGCCACCGCGAATCACATCACATCATTCCGTAATTTTCAAAGACTTTTATGCATGTTAATCCTATTTGATATTCAAGAAATCCATCAATGCACAAAGGAACACATGACTTTTTCTGACAACGTTAGCAATCTGTTAACAACCATAGCAGCCAAAAAGAAGAAACGAAAAGTGACATAATAAAAAATCTATGAACTAGAAGTTTCTAGAAGAAGCTCTGGGGCTTTCATCGAGAGATTATTTATCCCTATTTCATTATGCAATTCTAATAGCATTTCTTGCTGTTTTCCTAATCTGCCACAGTTTTTCAAACAGAAAATTAAAATAGGCAAAGGGTCCTGCTGAGGTCAACCACAGTGACAGCCCAAGAAGTGTAACAGCTAGAAACTGAAAAGAGAGACAGACGTCACAACGCAAAAGCACAGCAATCCATAGCCCCTTAATGTGGGTGCACACAGAGCCCCGCACACGCAGTAGCACTGAGATTGCCCTGCACGGCAGCACAACGGGACACTGAGGAAATGAAGACTGAGAGTCTTCAAAAACCATGTGGTGGCATTTAGCATCTTCTATGTGGGAGGTCAGAGAAGCAAGTAAGCATTGTAGGTAGAGGGCGTCCATCAGAAACGGTCAGGCCGATACTAAGAATTTCTTATTCGTATAACGAGAGTGAGGGTGACATCATGCACTGCCTGTGTGTGTTTTATCTGTTGGCTTAGGCTCGCAGGTCAGACCTCCGGACAGCTCTTTGTCTTTTCAAAGTAGGTAAGTGGATTTTTGTGCCTCTAATGGCAAGAGCTTCTTCTGAGGGATAGCCAAAACCCCAGAAGCTTTGACCTCTGGAAGTAGGGTAAAAGCTGCCAGATTTTTAAAGCCTCATCCACTAGTGCAGTTAATTAAACATCCACTCTTGAGATGAATGTTAGTTTAATGCCTTCATAGGCTTTGTCCCAGATGCTTACTCCTAAGCATAGTAACCAAGATCAGGCAGGGTGGAACCTGGTAGTTTGTACCCGATATTTGGGGTGTGGTCCTTTCTGATCGTGAACCTCTCTAACCCACAACCCAGCGACAGCCAGGGACAAGTGCAGCTTATGGAGAATAAATACCTAGGGAATATTTTATATGGCTTTGAATTCCCAGCACCCAATGCTGCCTATAGTTACCGTATTTCCCCAATAATAAGACCTACCCAAAAAATAAGCCCTAGCAGGATTTCTAAGCATTTGCACAATGTAAGCCCTACCCTGAAAATAAGACCTAGTGACAGGTGTGTGACCTAGTGACCTAGCTACACAGCGCATCTGCACAATCCATGCATTTTGTTGCGAAGTGGTAAAGAAGATGGACAGCCCTTCTCACGTGCCCCATGAGAGCTCTATTGCTCGACATGAGAGATTGGGGCCAGTGGTTCTAAAGGAAATAGAGCCGCACGAAATTCAGGATGGAATTCGGGGTTTGGAGAGTTATGATGATGTTCCAGAAGAAGATGACTTAACTATATTTGAATAAATGTAGATTGTTGTACCACACTTACAAAAAATAACACATCCCCTGAAAATAAGCCATAGGGTGTCTTCTTGAGGAAAAATAAATATAAGACCCTGTCTTATTTTCGGGGGAACATGGTAGTAGCGTTTAATGAGCGCTTAGTGGATGATTTATTATAGGACACAACTGAGATCCATCCCCGACATTTGTACCTTCTTCTCTTGACGATCCCCACCTTGCTCATGAATCAATCTTGAAACAACTATCTACCTCTATACCTGCGAAATATGATCATTATTTGTGTGTTGCAAATGTGGAGAGGGGAAATGATGACATTTTACTGAATCTTGATCTCCTTACCATGGTTTTTCATAGTTTAAATTAAAAACAAAAAGCAAGACTGGCTTTAGTTTACCAGTCACTTACAGGTTATTGTCTGTTTTGCCGCAGTCACTAGTTCTGAATGGCAATCAGAATGTTTATGGTCTTCCCCTTTTACCAATTAAAAAAGAAATTTAATTATTTTTGCCTTGGTTTTTTTTTTTCTAGCGGAAGATAACAGTCTGTCTCAAAAGAAGAAGGTCACCGTGGAAGATCTCTTCAGTGAAGATTTCAAAATCCACGACCCTGAGGCCAAGTGGATAAGTGGTGAGTCCCACGCCCTTCTGGGCACATGAGAAATAGCTGCCCCACTCCCCTGCCGCCTCGACAGTTGGGGTGCAGTAGTTTGCCTCTCAGATGCTCTCTGGCTCTGGAAGGGGGATACCAGAGCTTGTGCTGGGGCGATCATCAGATTGCCATTCTCAGAAAACATGTATCTGGTAAAATCCGGCTCCCGTCTTTGCGGTGTTGAGTCACAGACGTCAGCGCGGCGTTGGCTTCATGAGCAATGGGTCTGCTGAGGATGCTTCCTCCACGTCACCCCTGGAGACGCGCTTCTCAGAGGGAGATGTGACATGTTGCTTAGCAACAGGGACAGTGGAGGCACAGCCGAGCGTTCCTGCCTTCTCCACGGTCTTTGTTCTCTTTGTGCGCCTGCTTTCTCTTTCCTCCAGAGAGAGGAACCGAAAGTAACACACAGGATTCTTTTAGAGCAGTGCCAAGTGAACAGTGGTGCCCCATGCCCAGATGCACATAAATGCATTTTCCCTCTTGAACTTGAACCTGGATTAAATCTATATTCCTTGCTTGGGCTTTCTTTCTTTCTTTTTTTTTTTTTTTTTTAACAACTGAACAAAATGTAATCGAGGGCAGAAGGCACATGTTCATAATGCGTATTTTGGTTCATAAACACTGTGTCCTCTAATTGGATCTGAAATCATTTGAGTGTGTTCCCGGAAGAGAAGATGTCAACGCCTGCTCACCCGAGCTCTGCAGCCATTGTCACTGGCGCCTCCCCTGCCGTCCCCATTGCTGCTGTTCACGGGTAGTTTTCATTTCAGTCAAATGCATTGGAAAATTTATCCTCGGGTCAGAGAAGCTTTGTAGTAGGATGCTTGAGGTCTGGTTCAGATCCTTGCTTTTACAGTAAGTGGGGTCCAGACGGGTTAAGTGAGGTTTGTGAGGTCACGGAGCTGGTGGTGGCGCAGCTGCGGCTGGAAGCCTGTCTCCTGACTTCCGATCCGTGCCCTTTCCGTGTCTTGTTTAGCTGAGTGACATGGCACCATTGTGTTTTTTGGCACCAAACTGCTTCTGAAATGCTTTTCATGCTTCACAAACTCTCAAAAATCAATTAACAATGACTCTTTACCACGAGTCGCTGCTCAGAGCAGCAGCTTCTCCTTTGTCCTCTCCGATGGCTTCGGTGTTCATGTCCAACCCTCAGATTAGCCTATTCAAAAATGGAAAAAGTGGATGGATCTCAGAGGGAACATGTGTTATATAAATTGGGACTAATGAAAGTAGTACATCGTACATAACAACAAATCCAAAAACTAGACATCCCCGGTCTTTTCCACTGATGGAGGAATTCATTTTCCCTTTTGTTTGGGGGCTGACCTAGTGTCTGCTGAGTGTCTGTGTTTACCTGCTGCATAGGCAGGTGTAGCACCTACGGCAGGCTCTGGGCCAGGCCCAGAATAAAACAGCATTACTCCCCTTGAGGAGCGCAAAGTCACATTCTGGAGACGAAACAGCGAGCAACCAATGGGAATCCTGACTCGAGATGCGCAGAAGAGGAATGTGATGTTCCGGCTCCTCCTGAGAAGCCAGCTCAGAGACAGCAGAGACACTCGGTCTGCACGGATGGCCAGGGTTTCTTTAGAGAAGGGAGAAAACAGACCCCTGGAAAAACATAAGGCTAAAATGTGAGTCTGTGCTTATCCCTGGTTGGGATAACCAAGGGTGAGCTGAAGGACAATATCTAGGGATGAGAAAGAAAAACAAAACAAAATACAAGCCGGTGGAGAGGCAGAATCTGGGGACAGACACGGAGGCCAAAAACTGGGGACACAGAACCGGAGCTCTAGGGCTCACGGGAGGGCGGAGCAGGGCCTGGGAAGACCCCGTGAGGTGCTGAGTCGATACAGGTCTATATTTTTTATTAGGGCGCCCGTGGTTTCAGGCTTGGCATAGTCAGCATCCTACAGGCCAAAAATAGAAAGTGCAGTCAGAGGCACGAGAGCACGCGAGTTTCGGTGGGAGCCTGTGCCGGGTAGCGGCGTGAGGAGTTTGGTTTCTCGAGCAAGTGAGCGCAGCCAGCCCGGAGGTGCGCTGGCTCTCTCTGGCCAGATGAAACCGGCCAGGGTTTCTTTCTACCCGCAGAGCTGGGAGTCAGCACAGGCAATTGAGAAGGGGCCACGTGCCCGGCAGAAAATGCCCAGCCTGCCTGTCTTGGCAGGTTCCGTCTATTCACGAAGACCACCTGCAGCTCTGAACCCACGTGCCTTTGGTGCTCTCGAGCTTTCTGAGGATGCTCTTTGCTTCGTAAATGTCCTCGCTGATCTTGAAGTGACCAGCTGCTCAGGTCTCCCCAGAGAGCAGGCTCCATCCACTTGGAGTGAGTGGGAACCTGTTTCCCCACACCTTAGTTTCAGCTTCCCCGCTACTTTTCTTTCACAACTTCTTCTTCCCCTTCCTGGTCATCCCTTTCTTCTTCCTGACCATCCCTTTCTTCTTGCTCCCTAAAGATATGGCAGCTTGAAGTGAATGGAGTAACTGAGCCTTTAAACTGGTTCTTGATGAGTACCGCACAGAGTTCACGCATCACTCCTCTGTTTACACCACAAGATCCAGGAAAAGATCAGTACAGACTCATGGGATTATCTCACGTTGTAGAGCTGGGATGAGCTTTAGAAATTATTAGGACATTCGTTCATTCAGTAAGAGTTTAATTGCCTGCCTGCCATGTCACAGGCCGATTGCTGGGCCAGTGAGTGGTTTGTCCATGGAGCTATTTCTTAGTGGTAGATACAGGAGTGTCAGTCCACTACGCCCGTCTACCACCACCACAAGGCCCTCCTCATCCTCTTCCTCCTTCTCACCTTCATCACCATCATCATCACTATCACATCATCATCACCATCATCTTCATCATCATCATCATCGCATTATCATCTTCATCACCAGCATCATCTACTGGGCATCTACTTATTATGTCTTAAGCTCTAGGCAAAGTGCTTTACATATTAAGACATTTAATTCTTGACATATAGATAAGAACTACCATTATTCCCGTTTTACAGATGAGGAAATTGAGGCTTAGGGTTTTAAATAACTTGATCACTATTGCATGGGTAGTAAGTAGCAAAATTCAGAGTTGAACCTAGTTCTGTCTGGTTTTTATAAACTACGCTCGCTGCATGGGATAGAATGCAGGCCTCCTGTCTCTTGCCAGATTCCTTTGCAACCTCACCAGCTACAGGTGAGGCTTAACCAAGATTATAGGTTGCAGATATTTCAGAATTCCTGCCATCCTTTAAGTTCTTTATTCTAGCTTTCTGATTCCCTTCATGCCTATGTCAAAGTAACAGAATACCCAAGTGGTAAATAAAAATGGTGTGATTCTCTTCAGAGGAAGAGATTTGATTCTTTTTTTAGTAAACATTAACCACTAAAGTTAACAAATGTTACTTTGGGTTTAATATTGGAGTTAATAGTCTGGAACTAATACACTTTATCAGCAGAAAATGTGTTGGGTTGGAGTGACCCTTCCCCTGTTTTTATTCATAGGCTTAATTTTTTTAATCTACCTTTTCTGAGAAGAATTGATATGGCAGCCTTTAAATTCTCTGATAACGTAAAGCCCCCATGGACTTCCCTTCTGTGTTCGTTATAACCACGGGGAGAAGCCAAATGCGGTATGTGAAATAATGGAGCTAACGACATCCAAAGGCTCGCTCTGAGCTCGCTCTCGAAGAGGCGTGGTCTCTCCATTTATTCGCTTCATTGAGTGAACTCTTATACCTGCTATAATAACCACGTTGTAGTTCTCCACCATTTGGAACCCTTTGAGTGCCTTTCTGATATTCCATGACATGGAGCAGCCGCTGTGATGAGGCATTTTGGTTACCTTTGGTTATTTTCACGGACCAATCCTCATGGCTCACCTGGCCCATTCATTCTTCCCCACTCCTCTGTGATGGGCAGTTTCAAACCTTGTCATCTCTCCCCAACCCTCAAACTGCCTCCCCGTCCTCCTCAGCTGAACCTACCAGAAGAGAACTTAGAAACACTCCCATCATCACATCCGTCTACACCGCCCAGTGCTCTGCCTGCTCTGCAGGTGGCCTGCCTCCTGTCTGCACGCGATCTAAAGAAACCACAGGTGAACTTGCTTACTTGAGGAATAATTGCAGCAACTTCTTTCTCCCTGAAATGTTCATTTTTTGCCCTGTATGAGATGATTCCCATCATGAAACAAATATGCTCTTGTTTCTTACCTTAAACACGAACAACGCATCTCAAGTCCACACCCCCTGCCAGGTTCTGCCTGGCGTCCCTGTTCCCCTTTTGAGCTTGCGGCAGTTGTCTATCCGTGAAATTCCCCATTGCTCTTCTCCCAGTCACTCCAAACCTCCTCGCATTCTGCATCCATGCCCAGCACTCCCTGAAACTCCTCTTGTCAAGCTCACGATGACTTCCAGCTTGCTAAATTCAGTGGTTACATCTCAGACCTCATATTTCTTTACCTGCCAGCAGCGTTTACACCATTGGTCGCTTCTTCTCCCGGGTAAACTGTCCTGCTTGGCCTGTATAAGACCATCACAGTCTCTTCATTCTATTATATTCTGCCCACTGCATGGGCAGCTCCTTCCCAGCCTCCTTTGCGGGTCCTCCCTCTTCCCCCTGACTTTTAATGTTGGGGCATCCCAGGGCTCAGCCCTTGGTCCTCCCTCTTTATATCTGCACTGCTTCCCTCGATGTGTCCATCCAGCCTCACGGTTCTAAATGCCCTCCTAAACGCGTGTCTGCCGGCCGGCGTCTCTCCTGAACTTCTCAGTGTCTCACAGACATCTCGACTTCAATCTCAGGATCTCCACATCTGTGTTCTTGATTCCTCCCCAAACCCTGAAACACAAAAAACAAAAAGATCTGCCCTGTCCACGGGCCTCCCTAATGTCACTTGATGGGAAATTCTTTCTTCCGCCAGAACAGCCTGAGATCCCCGGAGTCATCCTTCACTCTGTCTCTCTTATACCCCAAATGCA